TATAGTTCAATTGCTGTCTAATTTAGATGACAATTGTGTCGCATTCTGATATCTGGTACAATATACTCATGTTACAGCACGGCGTACACACCTTCCCTCCATCCAAAATTGACCGCGCACATAAATGTGTTTTACTACTGTCCATACTGCCTACAGTACTGTCTGTACTGCCTACAGCGTTACGAACATACTATACAACTTTCAAGTTATTCGCGTGTAAGTTTTGAAAAAAACACACACAGTGTTTTCAGTAGTCGGAATAGTTGAAACATTAATATGGAAATAGTTACCGTCAGGTAAAATCTTATTTGAACGTTAGTACTGCATATGCACTGTCGTATTGAAATGGTGATTGTTATCATGATAGCATACGTAGTGACAAATATAGGAGTCTTAATAACAGATTTATTTCTAATACTCTTTAACCATGTTACTATCTTAAATATTGCAAAAGCGTTTAACTTATTGGTCCTCATTTACTGCGATTGTTTATGCAAATCAGGCGACCGTTCCACGCACTCACAAATCACGTTTCCGCGTCAGTTTGTGCGTTTTAAAAGCTGCGAAACGGATAAATAAACGATAAATGTGGTAATGACTCCGATGCCATTCATGATATATCGTCTATACAGAGGTAAAATGTATTAAAAATGTCTCCAAACATGTTAATAATAATGATTAATTTAGTCACATTTGAGATAATAGACCACTTTCCTGATGTTGAAGATATAGTGTTTGCATGTGCTCACATACGAATATGGGGTACAGCGTAGACTATCACCTGACGTGGCAAAAATAAAATCACTCGTCACCACATATCAGCATAATTGAACAGTATCAAACAGAGTTATGAAAATACTGTAGATGAAAGAATGATGCCGACCACTGTAATTTAATTGTTAAAAACCCGATACATTACAGTAAAGCTTATCTGGACTCAATTCTAAATGAGCTTGAATCATGTCTTTTTAAAATATACTTTTCATACATACAAGTGTGTTATCCACTGATCTTTATTGTTATGGAAGTGAACATATCACGTTTTAGTGCGGAGTTCCAAATTAAAATATCAGCAACATTATCGGCGTTTTTTTACTATTATTTTCTCACTGTGGTTGGCACTATTTTTACGATTCTGAACACAGAACAGCCATGCATTGTAAATAAACATAATTAATTCAGGGCGAAACATATTAAAATATTGTTCCCTATTTAAGTGTGCCAATGCCAAACCATTGAAAAGCTATTCTTGTGGCTCTTGCGCTGCATAACCGCGTTAACAGAAGCAACAGACGATTTTGTTTTTTAGCCGAAAGATACGTCCAAACATGGGCAATCTCACTCACGTACGAGCAGCAATATTCCTAACCAGACTTCTAGTTTCGACTGCATAACACCCGCAGTACCATTAGCACCGGGACCAGTGAAAGTTTCTGCGTTTCCTCTTTCACACTCATTGCTATATCCGACACAAAGGTACCACATAATACCAAATTACTGTTTTCTCGGGGGACAAGTAACGGCGGGACATTATATGTCAATATTCATATCAATTTGAACGCGATCAAGAGAAAACGTGCACGTCTTCCAGTTGTTTATGACAACGATTCCGATTGAATACTGACTGGTTGCCTGTGCGTTTGGGGTCTAATTTTTAAATAAAGACCAATAATAATCAATTGTTTTTTAGTCAAAGAATACTATATTAACACACAATTTTTCGAATTCATGCATACAACTGTAAAAATGGTATTACAAGTTTACGTGTAATTCTTTTTTCGTAGTACAGCAGAAAACGCAATATGACTTAAAACATATCACTGAGGTCATGTCTTGGTTAATATAGATATACCTTTTAGTTTTTCATAGAGTAGCAGACAAATACTGAAATGTAATTTTAATAAATGATGGGTAATACATGAACATAAATTTTCATTTACGTGACAACACTTCAAAGCATAGTACACATATAAAAGTCATTTTTCATTTGAAATAATGGTTTCACATGATCCGATAAAACTAATTACAATGCGTACTCAGTGACCCCGGCGCATGTACAGATCACCTGTATTTTTCCCTGTGATTAGATTAGGTGCAATATAATGGCACACAAGCAGATACGTGGTTGAATAAACGGCATCTTCTGCATATACCCACAATACTATTGTTACACTAATATAGTGCGATTGTAAAGGTATTATGCCTCGGGGTTTACAATATACTTATGTTATTTTAGAAATGTTCTGATGTCACAATGTATTTACATAAACGGTTTAAAATACATTATTGAGCACTCACAATTACTGGATTTTTCATATTGGTATTCATTAGTACAGTTGACAAATCTAACCCTTTCGGATCAATATAATATTATCTCTTATGTATAAAACCACGCAAGGTACTTTGATTCTTATAACATTATAATTAATTCATTCCACGTAGAGGTATAGCATGGTATTTAACAAAAGTCGAGATAAGCCTCGTAATGAGTACCGAAACACAATACAGAACTCACAGACTGTACATTTGAGTTAATATTGCAAATGATCGTCAACATAGGCACAGAGAGTCATGTGTTTGTTTGAGTTTCCAAATGCATCTTACTTGCAGTGATTTGCTACTAAAATTTTAGGTCTGTAGTCGTTGGATCTTTATTCGAATGAAATAAATGATTAACTCGACATCAAATAGAATAGGAACAAAAAAAAGAACACAGATGCAATTATACAGATTGTACTATCATCTTGAGTTAGAATGCATTCGACAACATATGCAAGGTCGGATACGCCACACAATAGTACTCTGACAACGGTATATTTGATTGTCTGTTTAATATATCCATATGCACGGAGCATGGCGTTCAGGTAGATTACATGTTATTTAAAACAGATGACACTACAGCTAATGGCTGGATTCCCATGGGACGTGCTTCAAACTAGAACGTAATTGTTGTGTTCCGTATGTCAATTCAAATAAAGAGACACTTTTTTTCCGATGAATTACGTTTCCTTACCTCAATGGCCCTGCATGATGCGGCATATTAATCTTGATGGCGGATTTGTCTTTAGCCGTAAGGCCAATGACATCACAGGCAGTCGTTCGCAGCTAACTGTGTGCCATTTATTTCAGTTATTCATATCTTTTAACATGTCTGAACGTATTAATATGAATTGTACAAGTAGTTTTACGCAGTGTATAATCAACAGGGAGAAAACCTGTGAATGCGTTCAATTTTATACCTAAATATTTTTCATGATGCTGTGCAAATTTAATTTCTCCATAAAAGACGCCTCTGATAAAAATGAGGGTACGAAGTTTTGGTGTCAAAGTTTTCTACGGATAACTAACTGGAACAAGTTCAGGACTGTATCAAACATGGAACATATTTATCTATGATCATGACAACATGATATGACATGATACTGAAAGTTGTCGTGATTTTGATATCGGGTGGTACGGTGCATAATAATCCATTTGTACTGTTTTCATGTTCAGTAATGCGAATGCAACAACGAGACATTATGGGTAATTGAATTAGACTCGTCGCGAATCTTCAAACTTGTCAAGAATGTGATTCAAATAAGAAACTAGTCGGTTTCATGTTTTGGTTCTTTATTTAGTTGCTAACAAATGCAGAACAGAATAGAACAGATAAAAAGTGTCAGCGTGTGAATGAAAATAGCTTCTCACTGTGGGTGCCAGTGGAGAGGTTATATTGAGTTCAATGCTATACGGCGCTAATGTTTAGTACATATAATGCATACACTTCAGCGATATTGTAAATTATACCCATTTCTATTGCGAGTAATGCCCAATTTCCATGACCAATCACTAAAAGCATATTCGCATTGACGGAAACATTTGAAAAAAAGTAAATGATCAAAGCAAACGCTTGCAATATGTTTTAACAAGCCAGTATCGATTATGAAAGCATCGCATGATCATCGCAAATATACAAACGGATAATCGACACGTAGTGTGAAAGTGCTAGCTAAGTGCGGAGGTCAAGGTACTTTTGTAATAACTGTTCTTATATAGCACTTTAAACTTGATCAAGTAACTGTTTAAGAATTGTTTGCTCGTGGACTTGCACATCACCTTCGTCGAACCTCTGTATTTCTTGCACGAGTGTTATTATTACCCCATTTCCTTAAATGCCTTAAAATATAATGCGTGTAGTTGTATTTACATATTATCACATCTCACTGCGTGCGCATTACGCATGCTGTAATTTGATGAGACTAGGTCACATGACATTGAATAAAAATGGATATTACATGGTATATGACCCGCCAAGTGGATATTACATGGGTATATCACATGGATGACGTCATTGTAAGTGACTGCAATAACATTCTCACGAACTTACCATACCTTCTATTTACAAATCACTCAGCTTTAAAGCGTTTTCGGTGAGCACGGGCGTAGACGCGTAGAAATGCTTTGCCGTACATTTTTGCTTCATGCAAAAAACACCATCAACTTCAAAATAGAGTATCTTAATATCCATTCTGGCACGTTCGCTGTCTATTTCGGATGGCTAAATTTCCTTCAAAACCATAAAAGCAGCCCCAAAGGCAACATCGGCGAACAACATTTCGTTTTGCACAATAGTTTCAGTGACGTCATCCATGTGATATACCAATGTAATATCCACTTGGCGGGCAATATACCATATAAATATATATAAATTTGTATTCAATGTCATATTACCGAGTCTCAACCAATCACAGCAGGCGTAACTGCAGTGACATGTGATAAATGAGACTATCACCTGGTACGGCTATTTCCCAGCAGGCATGGTGTATTGTTTTGAATTACAGAATAGCCAATCAATCAATCCATCCAATTAACCAATGGAAGCTTCTAAAATGACTCACTTTCATCTTTTGTGACGAAAAATAAATATGTTATTGATAAAAGTTTGAACCATATTGTTGACTGAAATGTGGTTACTAAACATCTTCCTATTCTGCCTATTTTTTATTAGATTGTACGGCATGGACGAGGAAGAACAACATTCGAGTGAATCGCTTATCAGTTATTCATACGATTATTACGCACTATTTGAGAGAGCATCTAAGTTGAATACTCCGCCACCCGTGACAGTAGCGTTTGGTGTAGTCTTTATGTGTATGATTATTTTCGGGAACATTTGGGTTATCGTAGCTGTATTCCGACAACCAAAGTTACGAAAATCAGCCACTAACCTCTTCATCGTATCATTGTCTGTATCCGATCTAATGGTAGCCGTTTTCTTCATACCATACCACGTTGCATTGTTCGCCTACAATATTCCAATAATCAATTCAGCTTTGTGTAAGATTTTGGGATATTTTCACTGGGCTGCTCAATGTGGCACAACATTCTCGCTGATCTGCATTTGCGTAGACCGGTATCGAGCCATTGTGCAGCCCATGAAACAGAAAATATCGATACGACAAGCTATGATTGGATGCACGCTCGTATGGTTGGTATCACTTGGCTATTCTTCGTTTAAGTTATCCGTTAATGACGTGCTGTCCTGGAATGAAACGATCGCTGTAGAGCATGGAAACGAAACGTTTTACGAGTACGAACTGGTGGCTTTTTGTTACGTTAAAGATGAAAGCACAGATCACTGGTTTCGACTAACCGATTTAATCCTAATGTACATCGTACCTCTAATTATATTAACAATTCTCTATTCCATAATGGTCTTCACCTTATGGCTTAGCAAATCACCCTCAAGTTCTAGCAGCCGTAACAAAAAGAAAGCGGTAAAAATGCTGAGTTTTGTTGTGCTACAATTTGCACTAACATGGCTACCAAACCATACATTGCAGTTCTATTTTACTTGGTCCGAAACATTCCCAAGAAGCGAATTCCTGTACTCAAATGTTCCCGCCAACCTGGCAATTTTTATTTTCCTCTGCAACAGTTGGATAAACCCTATTCTCTATGCGTATTTCAATGAACATTTTCGAAGAGAGTTCAGAAAACTGTTTCCCTGCTTCTACAAGTGTCGCACATCGACTGTTGAACCTGAGGAGACAGCAACGACGAGATTTGGTCCTACAACTGGTAACATTGGCAGAACACAAATATCAACAATCAGCACAACAGTGGCATAGCATCCAATGACTTGGAAATTGCATTAGTAAGTCAGTTTGTATAAAAATGTACTAATAAAACAAATACACAATTATACACAATTATTATTATGTCATTTTTATTCAATTGTATCTGTTATAAAATAAATGGATTTATATTAGGGAGCTAGCGCAGGGCAATATATAGAACCAGGACAACGAGAAGATTGCATTAAGTAATATACGGTTTAGTTACCTCGAATCACTGATTTGTATATCCTAACATGGTGTATATTATCTCCATACTCGAACAACCATACATTCCAAGCAAAATATATTGACTAGGCATAGCTAGTCTTATAATTACTCGCATTTAATAGAAGGTATTATTGATACTGTCTTGCTGTACATATCTGTATTTTTGGTGTTTGGCGAGACAAATCAAGCTAATATTATATTCGATTTCAGGGTATGTTACATGCCGCCAGATACATTGCCAGGACAAGAATAATTTAGATTACATTTTCATGCAAGAACATACAATATGTAATATATATATTATGTGTAACGTTGACTTAATCCCAATGTGAATATACATATCAAACACATTAATTTGTGGTAGGAAAAATATTTAGCATGACAGAGTCTATTTCAGATGTTTATTTAGCGTTGTTTTTTTGTATATACATTTGTGTTATCGTCGCACAGATTATCATATACTGACACTACGTGCGAGTAATATACTGTATTTTATATCGCATTCTTTGTACTAGCAGAAAACGTCTGTGACTGGAGGGTAAGAGATAACGACTGTACGTATCAGTTACTAGAAGATGAGTTGAGGTTATTTATCTCGTTTATTATAGAACTTTATGCCAATATTTATTATGTCATTCTATGTTTTATCTTTTGTTTGATTCCCGCGTATGACCTGCAAATGTGAATAAACAAATAATTCATTTCAATGATTTTGTACATTTCCTGAGTTTGTATAAATGTGCTTTGCGTCGACGAGCATCATAGTCTGATTTATCGTTTTATGGGCAATATATATTATGCAGCACTGAATGAAAACGTTGTATGCACTTTCGCACATGTTGATATAAAATGTATTCATGACAACTATACAGTGAGTATTTCAAGTTATTAACTCAGTTTATATTGTATATTTGTGTTATATTGTAGCCGAATATTTTGGCTTATGCGTGACATATGTACTAGAAACAAAAGCTGTTTTGAAATCTCGTTTATGTATTAACGCAAAGAACAAATAAATGTATCAACGTTCTAAAGCTACAGCAAGCGACATAATTTTCCTCGCATGCAATGAATGGTAATTGAAGTTATCTTTCAAATAAAAACGGATGTATTCTAACTGTTGTTATTAGATTGCAAAGGTTGCAAGGTACATTTTATGTAATCGGGTACTATCAAAACAAAGCTGGATCAAAATAGGTAAGATAAACAGAAATGTTAAAATAAAGTCAAATCAAGTAAAAATATTACCTTAATACGCTGTAATTTTAAAATTAGCTGACAAGATTTCAGTGTGAAAATAGTGATATATTTATAGAATGGTTTATACCTGGGGGACTAATTTGAATATATTTAATCAACTTGATTTAAGCTTCTCTATTTTCTATTATTTCTGCGATGTAGACCATACACATGAACAGTATTCCAAATTGCTCCGAACAGTTTTAAAACTTTAATTTCATGAAAGATTACACCGTTAGTGGCAGTTACTGAACAATCTACAATTTCAATAACCCGCACATGGGAAAAACAAGTAAATTAGAATAGCTTAGCATCGAAATTGTTTTGACAGTACTGGGAATATAAATTTCCACAATGTAATTGCTAATTTTTTTCATCAAATAACAACGTTTAGAGCTCGTCGGATTTCACAAATGAAGCCACTGTAATTACGAACCGTCGCGAATAAGCAGAATCTACGCCATGTTGCCAATGTGTGGCTAACGTGAGTAGGAGACGTGTCTTTATCAGTGAGGTCATGGAATCATATCTATTGTAATTATTTTACAGCATTACGTTTTTCAAGACATATCTATTTGTATGTATTACATTGCGATTGAGAGAAATTCCCCACACATGAGTAACCATAATCGATTCTTTAATATCTCACATATTATATATATGGTCTTCCATCGTGACACAGATTCCCTTATCACAAATATCATATTGTGTTTTAATGGTGTGAGTTTTGTGTAGCTACGGCGTACCTGCCGGCTACTTAATATGGCAGTCGAATATACAAATTCGCTCAATCCTTTCTGATTTACTAATAGAATCAACTTGTGTGATATCACATACGCACTCTATTTTGTATTTTGAATGTAACGTGATCGTAAAAATTTAATCTGCATCAAGTATGTTTAATACATAAAAATGCGTTATTTTAGTAACAATTGGAAACAGGTTATACCCAAACACGAAATAGATCGCCATGAAAGTCAAGACGATGTTTTATTTTCTGCCTAACCAATATAGACTATTTTTTCAGTTTAAACGAGTTAGACAATATGTAATGTATTTGTCACATAATATAAGCATTATAAGGCAAATCTGCATATAGAATGGAACGCCTAGAATATATATCATTGAACCAATTATGTTACATATATCTCAGAAGATTATGACGTCATAGTATACATTCCTTTATTCAGCTGCCATTGATTTTTTTATACGAGCGTTTTGCATTCATACAAAACTAATAGAAAAGTTTCAAATTAATTCCACCGAATAATAAAGTATCAAATATTAATAAGAAATGTAACGTTATGCGAATAAAAGTGTTATCGGTGTTGATTTCGTATTAACTTGGAAGAAAGACAAAACAACAAAAGGAAACCAAAAATGTCTTCTCGTTGTATGTTGTAATCTGACTTTGGGAGAATAAATACATGCATATGCTTAATTGCGTAGGGTTCGACATCAGCAGTGTAATGAAATCAAAGAAAACAATATATCAATAAACAACGATAAACAATGGATTTGTGACTGTCAGAATTGTCTGGTAGGCCGCACATGCAATATAAATAACAAGCAGAAATCACACCAATATGCCGTAGAGATTTAATACGCTTTATTAAGCTAATAGTGATTTTTTTTACACAACAGGGGTGATGATAAGGGAAATATTACTAGTCACATTAATACAATGTCACAATCCATAAAACTGCAACCAGACCGTCATCAAACTTATAATAATGCGTGAAGTATACACGTTATAAGTACAAGCAGTAAGATCTAGCATTAGAAGTTCGTAATACAACCGGTTAGACCTCATAAACACGTCACACAATAACAAGTTCAGACTGTTTTAATGTCCAGTAAGTTCAAACGTTCACTTGATCAACACTTAAGTAACAATGTATGCATGTAATCAACCGGGCTACCGTTCACCGTACAGTTGAATTAACTAAGTAACGATTAAACTGAAATCTAAACTTTGTATCTGAAGTTTCTAAATGCTGGCGTCTTATCCATCTCTTCGCCAAAGGGTAGAAACTCCAAGTCTCAGGAATATTCCCAAGCTGCAAGACCAATTTGACAGACCTCTACTCTATATACTTGGCTGACCTAATACAGCGAAGTTACCACTGACTCCCAGCAACTCAAAGCCTGAACGCCTTGCCAGTTGATAGTAAAATTACGAGTCACCACGAGTAGAATTGCAGGAGATGCTCACTCCTGGACAACTGATGGACAATAAAATTACCAAGCACACTGCTAATTAAACTATGACCTGATGCATGTACACCTGTTCACTAGTTACTAAGTAACAGACTTTATACCATTAAGTATATTATGTGATGAGTTTATTCAAATAAGTTACTTTTACAGTACTATAACTTACATGAACAAATGACTAGACAATAACAAGTAACACCAAAATAGTAACAATTTGTTACAGTGACCGTAATCACATAAGCTTGTTAAGTATAACCTCAAACAGCATTAGAGTTGGTAGGTGTGAGATTCAAATATATGCAATATGTTAATTAATCCGAGCACAGTATGCATGCTTATATGACATCGATAAATGAAGTTCGTTGATGACAATATCGTGCATTTGAACAATAATTGTTTTAGATTGTATCTATTTTTTCTCAAATTAAATTAGGAAGTTCACTCAGTTGGGAAAAATGTCTAAAATTCAATGCGTGTCGTAAATTTTTAAAACTTTTTTGAGTTGCTAACATAGAAAGGGTGAAATCTCCTCATATCCATCACATCGATTGTTAGTACATCATACATTGACAGTCTGTGCAAATGAAAGGCTAAACTTGAAATGCTTAAACACCGTGCTCATCTCCCGATACTCAATGATTACGCTTGTGTATCATCCCAGAAATGCGAGTAAAATAAAGTGTATATTAGTCATCAAATACAGTGCGTACAGTGTATTATCATGGATGTTAAATCATTGCACTATTGCTACCAAAGCTTGAATTCAAATACAATAATGTATGTTCATTTAAGTTACATACATCATAAATAAAGGAACCCGAATTTCAAAAAGTGGCTGCTAACGACGATACATCGTGCCATCCTATCAAATGCTTAATACTCTTATACCCGGTGACATACCCCCCACAGATGTTAACGACCCATTTCCCAAGACAATTCACTTGGAACAGATACCCCACTCACTAAATGGCAATAATAACATATAATTATTTTAATTTTACGTATTCACCATAGTCACATATATCGGAATTACAACAAAATAAGTTTCATTGCTCACGTTTTGAAATATTCTAGTGAAGTGAAACCAGCATGGTGCCGGCTATCTATCGGTGCTGACATTTATGCGAGCCTTATTAACGAAATATTTGTAGTCGGCAATATAAACAAACGCAGAACAAGAAAAAAACAGTCAAACCGTATCGATAGCAATTTCACGTGTCATTGTGTCATTCCAAGCAATTGAATACCACGTATCGCTACCGATAATAGTTTTGTAACGTTTTAAGGTGACTCACTTATTTTCAACTATATATGTTTCTGATCAAGTT